CTAGATTTATGGAAATCAATATGGTGTTGTTTTGCTTCCCAAATATCTAGATTTATGGAAATCAACATGGTGTTGTTTTGCTTCCCAGATATCTAGATTTATGGAAATCAATGTGGTGTTGTTTTGCAATGTTTTTTTTTTTAAATGAAAGTAGTGTTGTTTTGCTTTCCTGATATCTATGAACATGGAGTTGTTTTGCAATGTGTTAAAATCAACATGGTGTTGTTTTGCAATGTTGTGTTAAAAAATACCACTTTTAATTTAATGTTTGAAAAATAGCAAACAGAGTTTATCACCGAAGGTCTGTCCATCTTTTTCTCTCCCTGGAATGAGGATACATACTGGTACTCAAGGCAATTGAAAGTTTGGGCTAAATCCAAAACCAGGTGGCTTGACAACACTTAATTGATATCAACATTATTAATAGTTATTACAACATTTTATTTCTAATTACAAAAAAAAAATCACCTGCAACCAGAGTTATAAAATTTTTTTTTTGAGAATTAGGTAAAATGAAAGTAGGAAGTGAAGACAGCTGCACTCAAATCACCTATGTTGTACTGCTTGTGTTAATAAAGACTGGCTCAATATTAAACATATTGTAAGAAGCACCTGCAATGCTTCTCTTATGACATAGTTCAGTTTATTGTCACCCTAAACTTATCTTATACACCCTACACAATAGATCAAAAACACTCTCCATTAACGGAAGGAAGCTCCTGTCGAATAATAGGAATGACCCCCTAGTAGACAAAGGTGTGACAACAAGAATATCATCACTATTTACATGGCTATTTATATACTGGATTGTTGAGTGACATAGGGGGCTTTGTTCTGCTCACTGCTGTGCAATTATTATGCAAGGGAGATGGTACATGGATACAACAAGAACAATATGGTTTAATTATCATTCTATAAGGGGCTAATTAACACATGCAAATTGCTACCAATTAGTACATATGAATAAATTAAATTATATTTGAAACAAATTTATATTTAATTTTATTAAAATATACACTGCTGAAATAAGGCAGTTTGATCAGGTATGTTTTTGCATGCAATGATTTTCATTTAGATCTAAAGCTTGAGAGTTGATATATTAAATTATGTCAGGAAGGGGGGGGGGGCTCAGGTGGCAAACTGCAAGCTTCATCTAGACATAACTGATGAAATATCAAATTAAATATTGAAAAGTAAGAAACACACCTGAGCCTGAACTGGTGGAAACTGATCGAGAATGCGATGGTGGAGCTGACATATTAGAAACTACTGCTGGAGGTTGACCAGACGGAGAACTCTGTGGTGGTAGAGGCGGCGGTGGTGGTTGTGTAGCTACAGTCTTTGTACTGCCTTGATCCACAGGCGACTCAGGCATATTAAGCTCTGTGTAGTCTATAACAAAGAAAAGAACAGTAATGAGAATATAATTGGAAAAAAATCATGTCCAAACCACACTTAATTCCAACATTCTTGCTCAAACATGTTATATCCCTTTAAATATGCCACTAGGAAAAAAGTAGAGTGTAAACAAGGAAAGGGAACGAGAATCGGAAAGTATTAAAAACAATGAATAATGCAATAAAAGATGGTTTCCTGAAACAACACGGTCAAGTAATAAATAATGCGTATTTGTATTGTGAATTAACACAGTGACTATTACCTTGCCGATCTGTTGTGCTAACCATTGTTAATCCTGTAAGGTAGCACAGACAAAACGCAACCAAACTGGCACAGCACAACTCACACACTCCACATAGGTGATGTTAATCCTCAGCTAGTACACCATAAAGTGACTGGTATTCTAATTTTGGCTCACAGGTTTCTCTGTGCCTACCCCTATCTTTCTACACGCAATGTGCTGGCCACTATACTCCAGGTGCATAGGACACATGTTCATTTGCTCATTGTCTAGCCTCCACAAAAGGCCAACGGCTCATTAAGTACACAATGAAGCATAGTGGCCAGACAATTTACACAACACAAGGTGCCAGCCAATCCACTTTGTTATGATAATATCACCCTGCTTACAAATGCACAGCCTTCTGTTCATCCCAAGTATATACATGACAATAGCCATACTGCAAAAACATATTAAGAACTTGATAGATAAATAAACAAAATACATTTTGTGTTTTGAATGTCATCAAATCGTAACCGGACATAAACCCTTAAGGCAAGTAAGGTCAAAGGTTGGATTATTTTGTTGGCACCATCATTCTATATTTATATGCCATGCCTGCCATCAATAATACCATCTTACTATATATAATACATAATAGCTTCATTCTCTCTCTCCAGCACATGGCTAACTGCAACAGTATACGCCAATGACAAAGAAACCACTGCCCTCGTCATTGACCTCTGGTAATTAAGGTCACCACAGAGTGTCAAATCAAGGCAACACTGCCCTCTTACATAAAACAACAACCATTATGTCACATACAACATGACATACTTAGCTAGTCAAGAGATGTTGCCATGGAAACACTGCTATTGCTATGGTTACAAAACAGTATATAAACTCATTTCAATATTTTTTTTTTTTCGCTATTTTTTTTATTACAAATCTTGCAGCAGCAGCCTGGTACTTTAAAAAAACTATTTAATTTTTTGTGCAATGACTGCATTCCAAGTTAAAAAAATATTGACTTATTTTCACATTCAAACTAAATCTCGACAATCTAATTATTAAATTTTATATCTAATTAATTAATATGGTGTTATTTTTCCCCACAGTGTAACAATTTTTCAAAGAAACCTAGTCTGTTGATTCAATTAATAAAAACCAGGATAATTTCAAAAACGCTAAATCAGAAAAGTGCCTCCAAGAATTTAAATAACTGGTTTAGAAATGCTACTTTTTAAAAACACCACCTGAAAATAATAATAGACATGACTGGATAAGGGTAATACGAATGAAATCAGCTGTGAAAAACCCAATCATGTTAACATGTACCAGCTGTTGCAGGCATCCCACCTGGTTAATAAGGTCAATTATTTATTTATATTTTGTTTCATATTAATCAGACTAAGTACCTTAGAGTTTTATTTTGAAGGTCGTTTCTCACTAGCTGGGCAATGAAGAGACATCTAGGATTACATGTACAATACAGTGACCTAAGGTTATGTGGTACAAAAACCGTATCTAAATTTTATTTTATTAATAACAACTTGTACATACCAAACTTTATTTTATCTCATACATACCAAATTTTATTTTATTAATAAAAACTCATACATACCAAACTTTTAAAATAAAATGTGTACAGTAAAGTAGCACACGTTCCACACTTTAACACAATTTAAAAATTAATATTGTGCCTGTTACATTATCTACAGCCACCCAGAGAAAATGTGATTTCACAGTCACTCAGAGAAAATGTGATTTCACAGAATAGATCAGTCTGAACAATCATAATTAATGTACACCTGACCTATCTGTCAGTTTGGTTTTGATCAGTCTATCAAACACATGACCTTTGACCTTGATAACAGTTATCCTATTAACTTGATTAATTAAGCACTGGAGAGATGAATTTTTACTTATGATTTCAAGCTGATGAAATTAATAATTATTTATAATATATATTGACACAACAGTGACACAAAAAAGTACAGCAGTATAGTCTCTAGAATTAAAACATATGAAATACAATAAGACTAGAAATGAGAAAAATAACAAAACAGAAATTTGAATACAGACTTGGCTCCCTGTGTTGCTGGAAGTTTCTGTCTTAAATATAACTTATGTCTACTTTTCGATATACTTCACTAATATTTAAAAATGTGTTATCTTTACTCATGATTGTGAAGAGCTATTCACTGACACTACCGTAATTCTGAATAAGATAGAGTAAACTGTTGCCATAATATCAGAGACCAATTGTACTGGGTATACACAAGTTCCCAGAATAGATAACATGCATGGTCTACTCACATAACCAAGCGTGAAACAAAACCGCTACACCCAAAACAGCCTTTCATGATGGATTTGTAGTTTTCAAACTAAAAATTCTAGAAAATGTTTGATTACAGTTAATAAACGCATAAGTTTATTCATTGTCCATAGTTTGACTGAGTATTAGTGCAACTGTGACTGCTATGAACAGCAGGAGCTTGCCTAATACTGGTAAGCAATGGATATCTGCATAACAGCCAAAGATGTCACATATGTTGAACTCAGCTGACACCCACATTTGAGTATACATATATTTGTGGCTGAAATTCACCAATGAATTTTTCACCATTCCTGGTTAGTATATACAGAATCAACATTTTAAAATTCAAACAGACTTTATTAATATTTCATAATATAATTGCAGCAACAAAAGCAATTACTACACGGCCACAAGCTGTTAAATATTTCATCAAAATGCAGCACATGTTACACATAGCTGTCATCCCTTTGGTCTATAATGAACTATTCCATCATCTGCTACACAGCACCTCTATGTTTTAGGATGGAATTATAATATATGACCTTAAAGTGTACATCAACTATTGTGAATTCACTTCCAACAGAAACATACAAAAAATGCTTTTCGCCAAATCTTGATACAAGAGTGTGGAAAACTAACAAGCTGTATATGCATGTAATAAAAGATCACTCCACATCACGCTAAAATGAAACATTTGTTTCAATTTTAAACTACATTAGACATTAAAATATGTTATTGTGTGTTTGTCCCATGCTAAAATATTGAAAATGGTATTAAAGTTATAATTAATACAGTGTGCACAACTAATGTCTAATTGTCTACCAGTAGAAATTTTAAAGTCAGTCATCAACAAAAAAAAAATCCAATCAGAGAACTCTATGTTAAAATCCCATTAGCTAGGTGTGTATGCTGCTGGTAGGTGGAACAGCATAAAATAATGACATACCGTGACAAATCCTACGCAAAGACACACATAAACACACACAAATCAATGAAGAAATCATAGTAGCGACAACGTTACCCGTATATTTTATCCTCTTTGCACGATACATTACCCAGGTACACTCACACGTTAATTTTTATTTTTTATACCAACTTTTAAATTCATCAGATTTGTACAAGAACGCAGAACAATATACGTTAACCAATCATTTTTGTTTTGCTTCATTTTTGTCGGCGAACATGATTTAAAGCGTACGAAGAAAAATAGATTGACACATGCACGTTGCGGAATAAATTAAACCATATTGCAAAATAGTGGCCTTGTGAAAAGTTTTTTGTGTGAGTTACAATAATTACAAAGAAGAGTAATCTGAGTTGAGTCGATATTTTCAGATTAGAATTCTTCAGACAGATGGGTGTACTAAAACCTAATAGTAATGGAGCAGATGCCACCTCCACCAGGGACAATACCTTATCACAAATCCTATGCGTCCTATGCGTCCAATCCGTCTGTTCAATCTTATATTTTGACAATTTCAATTTTCCACTCAGGCCAACAAACAAACAACGCAGACACTTACTAAGTGAGCTTTGGTACAACAGCTAGTGATTTGATGTGTGCGATTGTCTTGGGAGATGATTCCTAGGAGAACATCTCATTTATGTAGTATACATAAATCACAAAATATGACCTGCTGTTGTTATTTTACACAGGAGCTGACAAGTTATTAACTAATAGTCTATGTCTAGTACAATGTAGCAGATTTCATTTTAACACCAGACTTTAAAAACTAGCCAGACTACATTTCATCTCTTTTTTGTAGATCAAATCAATTTAAAAAAATTTTTAATTTGCTATTCACTGATGAAAAATTTTCAATAAAGCTCATGTTGTGTTTAAAGGCCCATGTAGTTTTTTAAAAAAACCCTTGTAATGTTTAAAAGCTCATGGTGTTTAAAGGCCCACTACATACATTAAGCAGTGCCACACGTGCAACAAACAATTATCTTGTGGCCATGTTACAAGTAAATCAGTGCCGTCTTTAAGATGGAAAACAAAATTGAAAACAAATCTTTTTATATTAAGTAATACAATGGATTCTAAGTATTGTCACCTCATGTGACATGGCAATAACATCTCTAATCAGGGGTTTTACACTGATTAAGTAATAGCTACAAAGTAACATTTCCCCATATTCCTCCATGAACCCATTCTACTGAGAGGTCGCATACTTGACCTTTGTAAAATACACATTAAATGTGTCTTTAATGCATGCACCCAATCAAAGTTGGTGTAGCTGATGGCAATGCAAATACAACAAGCAGCCTCTTGGTTGAGATGTATAGAATCAAAGCAATCAGACTTGCTGTTTTCGACAAGAAGTCAAAAATATCACTTTTTACCAAAAATTACAAAAATATTCATCAAAATTAGGGAATTGAAGATATCATCACAAAATGAACAAATCTAAGAGAGGTCCACCTGAGGTACCTATATTTATAATATCAAAG